GGAAATCGTCCAAAGTCGCGGACAGCGCGGGCCCACACGCATTTTCGCTTCAGTCGGTGCCCCTAGGCGCCTCCTGGCGCGCTGGGTTCGGCTTTGGATCGCCAGTTGTTATTTCGGCCCAAACCAGCGATAAACAATGATTTGAAGGCGCGACTGGAACGATTTTTCGTCACCGGCGTTAAAAAAGGCGCCCTGGGGAGCCTATTGGGGGAACGAGTGGAGATGCTCTCACGGGGCTCAAAGAAGAGAGGAAGGACAACGAGCTCACCCTAAGCACATGATCATGCTCGATAAGGCACTGGATGCACGGGGAGGCAATTAACAGAGATGGAGCTTGCGAGGAAGCACGCTCGGTGACGAGGCGCTACTGGAGGGCGTGGGTGGCTTCTAAAGGATTCCATGGAGCCTAGGAAGGCGACGATAATAGCGAGTATGCAACTACTCCCTCCGGTCCTTTTTACTCTGCATATTAAGTTTGTCCGAAATCAATCTCATCCAACTTTGATCAAGTTTATATAAAAAGTTATAGACATTCACGTAAGAACATCAATATCATTAGATTCATCTTGAATATATTTTCATATTATATTTATTAAATATTATATATGCTAATAATTTCTAATATAAATTTGATCAAACTTAGCAAAGTTTGATTTTCGGCAAATTCAATGTGCAGAGTAAAAAGGACCGGAGGGAGTATTAATTACCACAAATTCAAGCGGCGGTGACGGCATCGATGTCTGGGACGACATCCATGTTAGGGAGGATTGGCGCAATTACTTGGCAGAGCTTACGCAAACATTGTTGCGAATTCAACTGAACCAACGAAGCGATTAGTGACCAAACTAGTCACCACCGGTTCTTTTGGGTGGCTTAAAAAATAAGTTATCTTTCTTCAGCATAAAAAACAATCCGCTTACAAAATTTGTTCAGGCGTAATCTCATAACTACTCCCTCCCTCCGTTTCTAAATATAAGTTTTTTTAAAGATTTAAATATGGAGTAGATTCACTTGTTTTGTTTCGAATATAGTCCATATTAGAATCTCTAAAAAGACTATTTAAGAACAGAGAGAGTAGTTCAGAAGCTTCAATTAACGAGGAAGACGGTTTAAATTTCATGCCACCAAAAGAACTGGCCTTTGACGCGACTAGGCACGATTGAAGTACACAAGACTGTCTCAAGCTAGTCAAATGGGTGCCAACATAGCACCGCGAATGAACGCCAATGCATCTAACTTAATAACGGCCACGGCGTGCGCCACGCTTATAACCTGCTAGTAACGTTTAGGCTCAAATCGTTTTATTAGTTAGTAGCAGTATGCAGCAAGATAGCATTTATGTGAACTAGAAATCCAATAGTGTCGATCTAAGACGCCTAACTGCGCATAATTCTTGGGCGTAAGCAGAAGGTTTCAGTTAAACACTGGCAAGTAAAGCAACACGAGATCACCAATTTAAGCATCTCCATTGCTGATTGCACCACAAAAAAAAGGAACCACTCCCTTTATTCACTGATAAGATGTTCTTGATACTTCCATATGGTGAACAAACACACTGAAACACGTCTACATACATCCGATTTAGAAGAAAAAAAGTTAGAACATCTTATAATAGTGAACGAAAGGAGTATTACAGAGTAGATCATCCAGCTAAGTGAAGTTGTTGCACAAACTGAGCCAAAAAAATAAAACTATGTTCACTCCAGAGTACGAGGGAGGTCTTTCAACTGCAGCCTGAAACAAGGTCGGAAAATGGCGAACTGTGCCTGAAAAATAATGGTGCTTCAACAGGGCCTAGTATAAACTTGTTTGGTTCTACCCTGGCCTGGACACCAACCAAACAGCAGCCCCGAAATGACCATGTAAGCAAAAGCCTGAAGCACAAGACATTTTGTAACAACATAGAAGACGATACGCTGAGATCGCTCGAGAACAAGAGCATCGAGTAACAACAATGTATGAAGTTGCAGTTATTTGTCTGCAAGGGATACAAGTCTTACCTTGAGAAATTCACAGGCTTACATCTTGATGTTGAAATACTCAGGATCAAAATGGTGTAGCCTCACGTATCCATCCTCCCCACCACTCGAAAAGCTATGGACATTACATGGGAAAACATGGGTCGTTAGAACTGGAATACGTAAAAATACATGAGAAATCAAGAACTGAAGCTCAAATAGGGAGGTGAAAATCCTATTTCTCAAAAGCATTTCGATAGACATAAATCACCAACGAAATATAACAGTATCAAAGAAGGAAGGATTGGTAGCTCTCATAAATTTATTTTACAACAACATATTCAGAATAGCGTATATGACCAAAGTTTATTTGGCTAAAATCACTGAGCTGCCATACCATCTACATGAGGAATTCAACAGGTACAATAAAACAGAATGTGCAAGAAAGCATGATCAAGCAATATTGCAGGTTAGATCTGCCAAGATAAATTCAGAGGACGATATAGCTCTCATATCCAACAGAGAATGATAAGTTATGTGTTACCCAAAAGTCAAAACTCAAGGCCAAGATAGAGAGGATTCATTAAGACTCGAGATTAAAGACAATAGAATGGTGATAAGAATTACTTCATGTAGCTCTCATATACAACTTTTCATCAAAATATGGTCAGTATAGCGTATATTGCCAATGTAATTGGCTATAATCACTGAGCATCATTATTACTAAACATGAGAAAAGAGAGTGATCCAATAAGATAGAAGGTGTGAAGAAAAGGCACCAAAACACAAAGGAAACAACATGTGCTCAAACAGATGGAAATGATAAGTTATGTGTTACACAAAAGTCAAAACTCAAGGCCAAGATAGAGAGGTTTCATTAAGACTCGAGATTAAAGACAATAGAATGGTGATAAGAATTACTTCATGTAGCTCTCATATACAACTTTTCATCAAAATATGGTCAGTATAGCGTATATTGCCAATGTAATTGGCTCTAATCACTGAGCTACACGTTGAGAAAAAATCACAAGAGAAAAGCCAGTATTCAACAAGATAAAAGGTAGTAAGCAAAGGCATGAGATCACAAAGGAAACAAAATATGTCACGAGCAGATAACAAAGATGAACAATGTGTAACAGATAAGTCAAACCCAATGCCCATGTAGAATCCAGGATACAGAGGATGAGTCAAGACTTAAGAAGTTAGAAAATAAAGTGGCGAGTGAGGATTACTTCACAATACTTGACCCACGGGAGATAAATAAATATGAACAAGAAAACAATATCAAGATCTGCTCTCATAAAGTTTGATGACATCTTAAAGACTCAGAATAGCGTATATCGCCATGAATCTACACGGCTTAATCATTGAGAAGATTAGCAAACTAAGTGAAACAGAGCATATTGCCAACCCAAGGTGCAGAGGCAAAATGTAAATTGAGAAATCAACATGAAATGGTAAAAAGGGTTAGTTAACATATAAAATTCAAAATCAAGGTCTGCTCTCATAACATTTGATGACATCCTAAAGATTCAGAATAGCGTATATCGCCATGAATCTACATGGCTTAATCATTGAGCAAATTAGCATACCAAGTGTGAAACAGAGGCATAACACAAACCCAAGTGCAGAGGCAGAACACGAATATAAGAAATCAAAATACAATGTTATATGAAATAACCTCTTTCCATCAGGATTAAATGCCAATGCATTGATTGGTCCAAAATGTCCTTTAACACCACCAATCTCTTCTTGTAAAATCTGAAATTAACAACAAAATCCTGTTACAGATTTTGACAATATATACAGACAGAATGTAACTTCCCATAGAAAGTCAAGAGGCATCTGTGTAAAAATATACAAAGGAATCTAGCTCACCTTGTGGAAAAATTTGGCCTCAAATTTACCGGCACGGCGATCTGTCATAGTAACGTTCATTGCATCTTGACCACCTCCAATAACCACCTATGAACCGCAAACAAATATGTTGTTTAGAAAATACAAATGAGTTTCCATATAGAATAACAAAAAACACCATTATAATGTACCAATTTAGTTCAGCACCATGCACACATGGGATGAGCTTTAAACACAGAAGCTGACAAATTAAGATAACAAATGTGCAAAGGAATCATGGTTCACACACTTTGACAAACTTGGCCTTAACTAAAGAGAGCAAGAAATCAAGGGTAGGAAATAAATGTGCAGGACAAACATATGTGGCACTCAAGACCAGAGCACATACACAGTAATCTTATCCAACTCAATAATTACCAAAAGGGCTGAATCGAAGAGCACATTTACAAATTCATAGTCACTCCCAACTTCATGGTTGCCCACGGAAATATATGCTTTTAGCTTCTTGTGAAAAGAGCAAGAATTAAAAACACAGCCCCATGTGCTTTGAGAGAGCTCGTACATTG